GCCTCGCTTCGCTCGGGCGAGCGCCTGGGCGAGCGCCTAGCGCCTCGGGCGTTTTTGGACCTTGGCGCCTTTTGGCGCCTAGCGCTTTTTAAATCACTGATCTGCAATGTACAAGTGTTACAGACTTATTCTCGGTCTGAGATAGCTTTTGCTTTGGTAGTCTTCTGTTACTTTATTGTACAGAAATTTGTAGTTGATGGTAAGTTGGTAACTGCTAATTCTCTGAGTTTTTGCATTAAAAATTGTGGTGGATAGATGGTGAATGTTGCTAATTTCATGTGAACAGAAGCAGAACATGGCTTATTAAACTTATTTTGAGGAATGCTATCAGTTGGTTGAGACATTTGATTATAGATTTCATCCTTTAGATCTCTTTTTAACTAAAGTTTAGCTAGGCTGGTAGTTAACCTAAAAGTCGCTTTATTTGCTCTTTGAAGGAATGCAGCATTTTTTTTGTTAATTTAATTGATAAAACTGGAGGCTGGATAATGGATTTTAGTTTTCCTGCATATCAAGTTTTCCCTTGTTATGTACTGGTCCATATGCTAAAAGGCATGGGCCCCATCCAAACTGGGAAAACCTAAGTGCTTCAGCAGGTTTGGTAGTAACTCTTCAAGTTTCAGCTCAATATCAATGGATATTTTAATTTAGTTTTAGTCCCATATGAGTTTCAGTGCCAATTTGATGTTTGAAGCTTGATATGATTTGATAAATATTCCATTGATATAGAGCATATTTTGTTAGGGTTGCTTTAGGCATTCAGGAGGGTTGGTATTTGTTCTGAGGCAGGTGCAAATTTGGGTCAGGTTGACCCTTTTCTTACCTAAACAACCAAACAAATCATTTCGTAAACAACCTTACCTACTACTAGGTTTGGCTGAGCAGGTCCACGTCAACTCCCAGTTGCAGCAGTTAAAACTTATATAGCTTCTTTAACATGATTACTTCTTTGTTTCTTGTGGTCTTTTGTGTTTAGGCTGAGTTTTTCTTATCTAAGCAACCAAATAATTCATCTACACAATCTAAGGCCTACTACTAGTTTGATGCGAGGAGGTTCATGTCAAGTCCAAGTCAAGTTTCAGCTACCAGAACTTATATAGCTTCTTTAACATGATTACATCATTATTTCTTATGGTCCAACATATTTCCTATCTTATTGGATTGGATATATGCAGGGAACATTGAGCTTTTGAACCTCTTATTCTCAAAAGGAGTTAATGTGGAATCACAAAGTGATGCTGGTACCCCTTTGATTTGGGCTGCTGGACATGGGCAGGAAGAATCAGTGCAATTTTTGTTAGAACATCATGCTAATGTAAGTTGTGCTTATGATAGTTAAGCACTTCCAAATTTTACGTTTTTTTGGTAGATCCAATGAGCAATGTTTAGTTTATATTACCTAGATTTTCACCTTGGCTTCATATTTTGCAGCTGCTTCTCACAAACACTGATGTTCGTTGAGTTTATCTTATCTAAGTTTTCATGATAAATAAACCTTTTTAATGAAAAAATCTTGTAAGTTATAGGTTAAACATCAATTTTGTCGTCACTATTGGACTGATGGCTTTGATAAACCATGATAAGGTTTCACTACTAGAATTCTATTTTTTTTCAGCTTTTTGTCCAGTATAACTTACAGTGTTTGCTGAAAAACTCGTATTGCCAATGTCGTGCATATTTATTTAGCTAGACTTACTGTCGAAAGCTGTAGTTTTTAGTCGATGACCTCATTGTGGTTTTTATTTATCTATCAAAAAGAAGCTATGTTGAGTCCTTCCTAGGTGATTAAACATAGAATCTTGTCGAAATCACCTCTTAACATCTCCTTTTCACCTTCTTCCTCTTTGTTGTTATTCTACATGCGTCCACATTAATGAACTCATGATATGCTGTGATTTAATGCAAATTCTGTAGGCCAATGCTGAAACTGATGACAATATCACTCCACTATTATCAGCTGTAGCAGCTGGATCACTTCCATGCTTGGAATTGCTACTTCAGGTATAATCTTGTGGTGTTTCTTTTTTGTGGTTGTTTAAATGTTTGGTTGTATGCATATATGAAATTAGTATATTACTTTATTGGTTACTTTTTGAATATATCTTGTGGTATGTGGTTTATTGTAAATTATAGTATTTACTGGTCAACCATATTTTCAGGTGATTTTTATGAACTTCACATGATATAGTTCTAGTTTTTGTTGCTTGTGCTTATATTATTGACTGCCCTTGTTATATCTCTTTGCAAAAAGAAATCAGTTAGTTTCACAATAGACAGTGGCATTTGTGGGAAGCAAAAGCCACAGAAGACTTGGTTAGAAGTAGTGTCAAGGGTTTGATGCTCCAAGGATTGTAGTTGGATGAAACCTGAAGGACATGGTGGGGAATTACTTGTGCAGAACACAAGGTTCCAAGTTCAGGTGACATGGAAGATGCAATAGTAAAATGATTTGATGAGAATTCACAGTAAAAGGGATGAAAATTTGAACTTAAGGTGTATCTGTTGGAGTTAAAAACAAGGTATGCTAGGCTAGACATATGATCAGGATTTAATGGATCTAGGATTGTAAGAGGATGAAATACATGGTGCGAAACCACTTACACACCTGTGGTTATAAGTTTAGATGGCTTTTGGATGTGCCAATCGCTTACTAAAATCATATGGTGGACATACTGAGCTATGCCGGCTTTCAAAAAATTGAAAAAGGAAGCACAAAAAGATCAGCAAGCTGTGATGTCCAAATTATTTGGATTTAGCCCAGCTGAGGGCGATATTATTCATCATTAAATCATCTTTATGTCTAATAAAGTTATCATAGATTTCATCCACCTTTCCTCGGACATGGCCCAAACACATCCTTCTGTGTTGTATCAAATTAACACAATTCTTTGGAAGTAGCATGTATTTTTCTTCCAGTGTATAGCATTTGTAACAAAAATATACTTTATCTGGTGAGACAGTGACTTATGTTTTTATCCGTGTAGGCAGGTGCTAATCCAAATGCCAGCGCAGGAGGAGCAACTCCGTTGCATGTTGCTGCTGATAACGGAAGTAGAGAAATTGTCAGTTGCTTAATAAGAGCTGGAGGAGATCCTAATCTATGTGATGATGTAAACTCTTGCAAGTCATTTTGTTTATGCTTGAAGCTGACTTGTTGTTTATCAATATCTTATTATTGGATTGTGAATGTGCCCGACTGTCCATGTTAGAGAAGTGGGTTTCTGCTTTAGCTCTCAGTGCACATGAATTGGGATGTTATGCTTAACATGGAAATTGGAATAATGGCATTAAGAAAAAAATCTTTTGCAAATTATGATTCAATTTCTATTGAAATTGACCATATCATATTTTAGTCTCTATCAAGGTCTGTCATACCGAAGCATACCGTCCGTCTCGGGCGGTATATACCGGTCCGACAGGTTATCAGTACGTGGACCGTCCGGTACCGCTATAGTGCTACAGTATAAAAAATAAAAAATTATTCGGTACACCAGGGTATACCGTTCAGTACGCCCTGATGTATCGCCCGGTACACCGGTACTGTACCATACCGAGTCCGGGTCGAAACGTCGGTACGGTATGGTACAGTGAACCTTGGTCTCTATTATCTCAGCATATCTTCCTCTACTGAACCACAAAAACAGGATTATTGTATAAATTTTGTCTTAACATTTTCTGAGGTACTAGATGTATAAGTCTTGACCTTTTCGGATAATTGTTTTTCTTGCAGACTGGAGAAAGCAAGATAGTGCTGATTTTCATGACAAGGTTACTTTGTGATGCAGGGACAGATATGTAGTGTTTTACTTAAATTAGAAACAATTTTATTATTTTCTTTACGCTCTTGATGGTAATAAAGGCATAAAATTCTATCTGGACTTGTTTTCATATCTTAGTAGATGTTATAGTATGGGATTTCAAAATTGATTATTATCTGATAATTTTAGGACACATAAGGGCTTGTAGTGTCTGGTGTAAAGTGTCAACTAGATGGGTTGTCGGAATAACAGATATAGGCTCTCTTTCGTTTATTAAATGGTGTGATTATGCAATGGAACCAAAGGTTTGAAATCTTCTAACCTTTGATTGATTATCAGACCCTAGAGTGATGTATTCTGTTCCTATTTTCTTTGAAATTATCCTTTCTTTTAATATCTCTTGTCAATTTTCTTCTTGCACCCTTGATCTTAAACTCTGCAGTTGTTCCTCTATGATTATACAAAACCCCAAATCCTTAATATCGCCCTGCAGCCTGTTCTTAAAAGCAAGGTCTTCAATTTCGAATAATACCGTCCATACCGGGCAGTACGTATCGGTCCGTCAGCAGACTGGTACACTGACCGATCGCTACCGGGCAGTGTATATATATATATATATATATAGAGAGAGAGAGAGAGAGAGAGAGAGAGAGAGCCGA